GCCACTAATACTACCCCCCTCCTAGTAAAATACCCCCCGGGTATTAATCAATTTATTAGAGGGTAAATTGATTAATACCCGGGGTATTGTATGCAGTGGTATATGGTAATAACAAATCATTATATTTGATTGATACAATATATTATTATTTTAGTTATAATATTTACAGTTTTAAATTAACATATAATTATATAAAAAATTATTATATAATAAAAATGAGTAAATTTTAAAAATTAATATGTAAAAATTTTCTAATTAAAATATTATATTCTTGTAATTAAAATTCAATTTAAATAATTAATGTTTTTAATTATATTTCTATTAAATAATTTAGAAATTTGTCTTTAATTATAAATAAACCAATATTTAATTTATTATATTTATGTATAAGAAATATTTTTTTCAAATATATATATTCTAATATACAGTATATAAATTAATAAACAATTCATATTAATAATTATTAAAATAAAATATATTGCAAAAAAAACAACAATTATATTTTTATTTGTAATTTAACAAAAATCATTAAAAAAATCAATAATAAATTTAAATATAATTAAAGTAACATTTATAAAAGAATTTTATTTAAAATTGTTTATTAATTATTTTATCATTTAATTTGATATTTTAATTTTTTAACAAAAATTTTATATTGTATATTTTAATTTTTATTTAATTACTATTTTTAAAAAAACAATATATGTATGTATATATAATATATATTTACAGTATATGGTTTTTACTTTTGGAATAAAAGATTTTAAAAAGTAAAACAAAAGAACAAATTAATAAATAAATTAATTTTTTTAATTAAAAGTTAATAATTGTAAAAAGTTCAATTATAGAAAATTTCTTTGCTATTTTTTTTTTTTTTTGCAATATACTGTAAATATTTTTATTAAATAATCATAAAATTTTTATAAGTAACGAAATGCATTGGTATTCTTGAAAATAATTGATTGAAGATTGTTGAAAAAGATTATATAAGCTTTACGATTTATTGATATTTAAAAGTATTTCTGTTATAATAAATTTAATATCTTTAGCCAATTAATTTTAATGACCAATAAAATAATTTTACAACTATTCCAACTATTCATAAAATCCTATCACTATACTTATTTTATGTTAAAAGTAATCTAGCAATTGTTATACTGTATTATTAATTTTGTATTTACAGTATATTATTACAGTATAATAACGAAGGTAGCAGTAATATATGTATATGTATATATATGTATATTTTTTTAAAAAAAATTAGATGAACTGATTGATCAAAAAAAGGTACATTCTAAATGCCTAATTTATCATCAAAGAAACCCATGATTGTTCAATTGATTTTACGATTCAATTTATAATTTTATTACTAGTGGACCACGGTCCCATCTCTTTTCGTTGGTGTTTCGGATCTAATCCAACTTCTAAACCTAATTATCATACAGTGTTGTTGTACAATGCAATGCCATGCGTTATGTTTTTACCGACATTGTATATTTATAGTATTATTAAATTAGCAATTGACTAAATGAAGAACAATAATATCCGAATTATTGTCGGTTTTATTTTTTTTAATTTTTTATACCGTATATAATAAACAAAGAACCAAAGGAAGTTAATTAATATCGGGTCTATTTTTGGAATAACAATAGTATGTCCGTTATGTAATATAAGAATTGACAGGTACTGAGACGTAACTATCAAACGATCGAATCAACTGTTTAGAAAACTCGCACTAGTACAAATATATTCGTGTGATATAAGCACACACACAAAAAAAATTTATCTCATTGTTTTATTAGGTAAAGTTTAGAGAACCGATTTTTAAACACGTGCCAATAATGATTCGAAGTTGTTTCTTTTACGCCCACAGAATGACATTGATCGAGAGAGACCCTACCTAAACATAGATAGTCCTAGGCCATGACTCATATCTTTACTACAAAAGGGATTTTGTATCCTTTGCAGCTTGTAGAAAGCATATTAGCAATTTGACGGAAAAACCATTATCAATATTTTATTATTACTCATTGGCCCATTGCTATTAATAAATGCGATTGATCATGAAGACTTGTGTGATAACACAATATAAAGAAAAAAAATTTTTTTTCTTGTTTCTTGAACACGTGTAACCTACGTTATGTAGTTACATTAATTGCATATATCTTGAAAAAAACAATGCAAATGCGCCCCGCACAGGTGCTGTACGGAGAGAATTTCTTGGCGATCAGAAATATATATTGTCAGGATTTTCTCACTTCTGTATTCAAAAATGGTCCTATAGTTGAATCGTGACTTTGAGCCAATAAACGATGTGTGTCTGTAACCCGGACAGTGCAAAGTCAAGAATTTTTGGATTAATTCGACGGAATAGAAGAAAGAAATTAGGTAACTTAGATAATGTGAAGTTTTTTGGTATTAGATACATATGTTGTATTTATTTATCTATATAATCAGAAGATATTTGGCGTCAGACACAACAACTAAGGTTGGACAACATCAAGTGTGAGAAATACATTATTCAGATGATAGCAACGCATGATTGAAATTGAGTTAATTTATTTGTATCATAAAAAAACATTGTGTACCTTACTTTGTGAATCTTTGAACTCTAAATTTCAAAATTTTGCGGTATCTTCAAACTTTGTAACAACGAAATAACTTACAACGATTTTGTGCACAAAATAACGGAAGACCGACAAACCTCATTTTAATGTGCATGAAATTGAAAAAAACTTTAAATCCGAATGTAAAAATTATTTAAAATTTCATAAGATTAGTAAGTATAAAACCCACAATTTGTATTATTTACATAAGTTAAACTTTTGAAATAAAGAGATATACAATATAAAGCATTCTGCCAAAATTATGAGCATAATATTACGATATAACGAAATTTGAAATTGTTGAGTTACATAAAGTTTCCTTGTTATTTGTAATGATTTTTTTCTTGATTTTTGAATGAAAAACCCGTTGATTATAGTTTATTTAAAAAGTCAATTCATCTCATCCACAGTATATACTGTATACTCATTTGTTTAAAAGCTATTATCAATCAACTTGATATTTGAAAAAATAAAAAAAATATATATATATATTATAGATCCATATTCACATTTTGATTTTATTATATCTCTTGATCAATGTTCCATGATTTTTTGATAGAGTACAGTGTATTGAAGAACAAATCAAATGTATTAAAATTAATGTCTAATTCCATCAGATGTGAATGATCTTTTTATAAATATTCATTAGTGAATTTAACGTACTCCTATCAAATAAAAATTGAATTAATAAATTTAAAGTACTATCAAATAAAGTTTTAATTTACGTCTTACATTCACTTGTTCTCTTATATTGGATTAATAAAAGGATAGTGCAGGTTGAATCTTTTTTTTAACGCTTTGTACACAGGTGAAAATGAATGAAACACAATAAACGTTATTGTGATATCTTATTGGAAGTATGTCGTGTCACGTGATTGTTCCGTAATAGAACATTATTCACAATCCTTTGTGCCCAAAAGAAAAAATAAGATAAATTCAATTTGTTTTATTATGTGCATTACCCGGCACGTTATAAGGCGCAGTCGATATGAATTGAAATCTTCATTTTATTTCACATGGCGCAAAGATGATTGATCTCTTCGGCATTATTTATTAACATAAGTTCGTAAAATTGTCATTTATAAACTGTATGTTATGTACAATCCTGTATTCTCTTGAGTCATACTGATTTTATTGACTTAAGGCATGTAAGAATTAGCGAATTAAATAATAATTAAACACAAATAAATACAAAGTAAACCAAAACATGCCAAAGCCATCTAATTCTAACTTAAAATAATTTTTTTTTTTTTTATACATCTTGTTTCTTATTAAATGGTACAGCGCATAAAGGAAAAGAGAAAGATTGATTAAAAATAAAAGGATCCATTATAATTTGTTTCAGAAGAAACTCCCAGGTCATCAGGAAACTGTGTCATGCTTTTGAGATCGGAGGAGATGGTTGATTCTTCAGAATCAGAAAATTCAATTATGTCCGAGACAAGATCGGAACAGCTGGAATTTCCAATTTCCGGCGACGAAAGAGATGACGATGCGTAACTTTGGTGCTCCATCTCGCTCGTGCCAAGATCAGAACAGCAGGAATTTCCGATTTCCGGTGACGAAAGAGATGATAGTGCATAATTCTGGTACTCCATCTCGCTCGCTCCCAATAACTCACCAAAGAATGGGTTATTCAACGCGATGGAATTTTCTGATATTAACGACTCATCTAGTAATTTTGTCCATGTTGTTTCACACGATAAATCCCCGATGATATTAAAGTATGCATCTGTAGAATCACACCCTTCTATCCCTTTTGAGCTTTCGTTTGAATATGTGCTAAACTCTGGTTCTTCTAATTTTTTCATATCTCGAGGAATCATAGAATTATTTAAAGATTTTTCGACAGAGTTGGCTTCAGAATCGAAATTCAGGAGTGATAATTCGTAATCGGCCGCATTGCCGCTACCTTCAACAAATAAATCATAAAGTTGACCTATAGTTGCCGAATCATAATTTGAAAGATTATTGGGTTGAAATTCGGTCGAAGCTTCGACGTTGTTATTGTTGTCGTGAGTTGTTTCCCAAGGGAACACCGCCTGTTGGGAAGATATTGATTCGACCGACGAAGATCCATTTGGAATTTTTACACGCTTTGATGAGGACTTTCTGAGTGAGGTTTTGTCTTTGGATGGGTGCTGTTTCTGAAAGGAGACAATATTCCATCGTTCTCTTTTTGGACGACGTGGTGATTTAGGAGATATTTCATTGCGAATTTCATTTGCTTCCTTGGCAAGTCTTTTATATTCAGCTTTAACAATTTCACTTTCTTGTTCCCAAGATTGGGAGGCCATTGAAGAAACGACAGTCATGGGAAGTTGATATCCATCGGCCCTCGCTGTTTCCACAAAAATTTTTCTGTATATGATGAAAGCGTTCGGACCTCGAACGGACGCACGGCTATCGGGTTGTTTTGTCATTAAATCACGAATATTGATTACAGGTGGGAAAGCAAGCTTAATGAAAGGTTTTGTAAACATATTCATCACTTGATTTGGTAAGTTGGGATTGCTCGAGTCAATGAAGACGCAAGCTCGCGAAGTAGAATTTGTTGACTTCGAATTTTTCATTTTCCCTTTTTTTTTTTTTTTGACCTAACTTTACTTATCGTTCACGATCTGAAACCTGTCCACTCAATGAGCGGGTATTTATGCAGGAATTCAAGTTGTTGTGCGAAGAGCTCGAAGATTATTTTTTGTCACAATCCCTCAACATGATAATCAAACAATTATGATAAATTTAGAAATCATTTTGATTAAGGACCTTCCTTATTTGAAAAGATCGCTAATGTCACCCTAACGCTACATTCAGCCTAACCTCAATAAATGGTTGGACATCTTCGCGCTCAATATTTCTCTGCAGGGTTATACATGATTGATGATATACTACTATATGTCAATAAAGTTGATTGTGACTGGATGGCAGACCGGAACTCCGTTACTTTCATAAATTTGGAACATAAAGCCCAAATATTTACCATCACTTCTTGATATCAAGTACCCGTTGTTGAATTCTTGGACCAATAAGAGAAATAATTTTAAGCCTCCAAGTCGCTATTTCATGGAGTATTATTCTTTTGATTGATTCATTACTACAAAAAAAAAAAAAAATGCTTAGATAATTGCGGGGGCTGATTCGTTCGGTTATTATGTAAGTTTCACTCGTGTGTTTCACCCCGAGCTTTTTCCTCACATGATTTGTACTGGTTCAGACCACATGTTCAGAAAACTGGGTCATATCAGGAATAAATCAAATTCGATTTGTTTGTTGTGGTGTCATTTCACCAAAACGTATCAAAGACTACATCCGTATGGCATTCCTTAGAAGGAATGGTATGCTCATTATGGTTATCCATAAGGTTATACTCAATCATTACTCCAAAAAAACGATCCCAAATTCAATTTCAAAAAATGGAAGGAAATTATGTATCTTATTAATTGCGGGTTTTGGTTTAGATAGTAGGAAATGAAAATTTGGAAAGAGGTGAATTGTTTGTATTGTTGATACCACTAAGCTATGGATAATCATCCGAATATTAGAAAGATCGTTTAAAGATTACATAAAGTTGCCTCAATTTTAAATGAGTAGTGCGCTAAATGGTCAGATTCCCTCAAAAGAATCGCGATATTGATGATTTTCGTACTGTAATGTTGTTTTGGCGGTTGTATTTTCCATAAATTGAAGACCATTGTATCCTCGAAATTGGTGAAATCCATCGAAATTTAATCAGGATTTCATATGTAATAACATGAATAAACTTCGAATTTGGAATTGTAACATGGAATTATTGCTTCTAACAATAGTGTATTTTAACAAATAAAAATTATAAGCACAGTTTAAAAGGAAAGCAGACCAGTAAAAATCACGTGCTTATTTAATATCATAAACGTGACATTTACGATGGGACAAACACAATTTATACATTACAATTTATTATAAGGATGTGATAAAATTTGGTTAAAATTCAAGCAAAGAGATGTTGTGCACGTGATACTATGATTGTTTGCCAAGGTACATGGAACGTATAACGTAACACATATGAATTAGAAGGGTTTCTTTTTTCTATAAAAACGAAGAAAAAGAAAAATGCATGTTCCAGTGATACGTGATTATATAATTATAAATAGTCAAAAAAATTTTGGTATTATATAACGTTAGATGCCATCACATCTTTAGTTACCGTAGCAACGGACAACTAGACGGCAATGTATATTGTATATGTTAATAAAAAGAAAAGTTTATATTTATCTCTTAGTTTAAGTTTTTAAGCCATCAGACTTTAAGATTTTAAATAATACATAAAAAAATTTTTTTAAAAGAACTTTATATATTCACCCAAAGAATTTCTTTTATAAAAAACTTTGTCACATTATTTATAATAAAATATACGATTGTTATTTGATATAAATATATACAGATTGAGTCGAATTTTTGTAAATTAAGATACAAATAATTTTTAAAAAAATATTCCGATATATTTTAAAATGTGCAAATATAAAATAAGAGTATTAAAAATTCCTATTTGTATTTATTTAAATTTAAAAATTAGTTTAAAATAAATTCATGCCATTAACATTTATATAAAAATCATATCAATTTTTTTATTGACGTATTGAAATTCTTAAAAAATAATAATTCAGAAACCATTTCGACAAATTTATAATTTAATGATAATTTTAAATAGAGTAACAATTATTTTTTAAATATTGGTTTGTATCTTTTATAAATATTATTCTTTCAATTTAAAATCTTTACTATCAATACTTGTATACTATACATTTAATCTAAAAAAACTTGTTTTTTGCTTTTTTAAAAAAAAACACTTGAAATATAAAATTTTAATATTTTGTTATTTTAAAAAAACTATACATTTTATTAAATAAAACTTTAAATATTAGGTTAAAATTTATGAAACTTTCTATTTAAATACT